TGTCACACCCATAGATACTCAGCAGAAGAGCATGGAGCTCCTGACCTTCTCATGCAGTCGAGGCAGCTCCTGGATAGGGATGCTGCCCGCCGAGGTATGGCCATCGTGGCTGGAGGATATCTCATCAAACTTTATAAACTGGCCAACCTGAGCAGCTACAGGCACGGAACCCTCCACCAACATGATCCTAGGCAACTCCCCTTCGACAAAGCTCGCCCGGTGAAGATCCACCGGAAAGAGTCACGGCTCCATCTCGAAAAAAGGCCTCGCAGATGAATCCAGCGCGTCACCTCCTTCGGCGAAAGCCGCCCCTTCTCAGGCAAAGACGGCCAGCACCGCCTTGGGCAGCCTCTAGCTCGACATTGCACTCCGGATTCATGAAGGGATCTATGAGTCCTCCCCTCGCTTACCCTCTCTCTCACTTAGGACCTTCATGACATACAGGCACTCTCGGTGAGAAGGAAGAAGGAGAGGCAATAGTTGGAGAACAGGCAAAAGACTACGACGAGAAGCCCTCTCCCTTCCCCTATTTAAGGAGGAAACACGGTAGCTGAAGAAGGGCAAAAGATCAGAGCGAAAAACTCTCTCCCTTCCCCCACTCAATGCGGATGGGAAACGATGGGACGCACCCTGACTGATGGGACGCACATTGACCGACGGAATGACGCCTGGTCAGACAGGACGTGGCCTGGATATGGCCCACCACTACCGCACTCCGGGCGCAAGAACCAAAGCACCACCATGCGCAAGTGACCCTCCGCCTTCCCAGACGAGACTTGGAAAGGTCCAAACTACGGAATCTCCGCCAAAAGAGACCATCGGGCCTCCTGAGTCAATCGAACGGATTAGAAAAACGCCGAGAGACAAGTAAGGATCAAAGGATGTCCCATATGGGCCATGCCGACTCCATCATGAACGAGCGAGCATGGATCCTGGTCGGACATTTACGATTGAAGCTCTTCAAACCCGTCACTCGAGTCATCGAGACGATTGAACAGCTCGAGAAAAACGAGATAGGTAAAGAACAAAGGGGCGCCCATGTGGGCCATGCCGACTGGCCATGAACAACGAGCATGGGTCCTAGTCGGACATTTCCGATTGGAGCTCTTCAAGCCCCGTCACTCGAGTCATCAAGGTAACATTATAGACCCCCACTATTTCTTTATATATATAATCATTCATACACGCATTCATTCTATATGCCTGCGCCCCTAGGACGATTCAGGCCCAAATCGCCCAGGGGCTCGGGAACTAAGCCATAGCACATGCGGCTAAATGCATCACAACGCTCCGTGTTATACACGAAGCCGGCGCTTGCCTCATTCAACATGAGCAACGACCGACCGGGGTTCAAGGCCACCACAAAGGGCTTGAGGCTCGTGTCAAACAGAGCTGGGGAGAAAACACAGATGAGCCACATATGGCCTCGCCTGGGCTCACCCCAAGGCATGGTCATCTCAGCCTTCTCGTTCGATCCTAAACCTCTGCCAAACCCACAGAATCTCCATCGAGGGGAGGCCAGCGGGCCACCTGGGTCGGACTCCGGAATGACCTAGGCATCTCGGGTTGCGTGTAAAGGAGTAGTGGAATGCCACAAGAGGGATATGCCGACCCCATCACTAAACGATGGACACGAATTCCACTCGATCATACCGATTAGCGAGCTCACCGAAAGCGTCCTCAAGCCCGAGCGATCAAGGCAAGCGACAAAGCTCAGCCCCTCCGGTTGCCGAGAAACCGAGGACGGGTAATGCACAAAACTCGAGAACCGACCCCACCAAGCCCAACGCCTCATTGCACACCAACACCTAGAGTCTCACACTTGACCCCGAACTTCGCCCCACCCACGGCTATGCCTTGATCACACACCAACACAGGTCTGCGACCACGAACTCGCCCATCCTCCTCGGCTACGTGCGGGTTCGCGACCCCAAACTGCGCCCCATCCCTCGCTCGCCTCATTTGACACCAACACCGGTGCATGACCCCGAACTCGCTTCATCCTCATTTCGCCTCGATTGCACACCAACACCTAGGTCTATGACCCTGAACTCGCCCCATCCCTCGGCTACGTCTCGGCTGCACACCAACGCCTGGGTCTACGACCCCGAACTCGCCCCATCAGGATCCACGAGCTCTGTCTCGCTCGATCCCAAAACTAACTGCCTCGGCTACGCGGGCTGCACCGACGCCAGGATCCACAAGCTCCGCCTCGTCCGATCCCTAAAAACTAACTGCCTCGGCTACGTGGGCTGCATCGACGTCGGGATCCGCGAGTTCCATCTCACCCGATCCCTAAACTAACTGTCTCGACTAAAAACACGCACACACGCTGTTGACAAAACCCCCGAAGCGATTCTACCAATCACTCGGGGCTCGGGGGCACCCGCAGTGCACTTTCGCGTGCACCCACCGATTTAAACAAAACCTTCCTCACCGGCAACACGAAAAACCCCAGACGATTCTCGCCTTTGAATCACCCGGGAGCTCGAAGCTACACCATGCAGAAGCGCCACGCAGCACGCTGCCAAGACAAAAATCCCCCAAACAATTCTACTCGAATCGCCGAGGCTCGGGGGCTCTGTCGGGTTCATAAACCCGAGGTCCCTCACGAACCGGCGTCCCAACAAAGGCTCGACCCAAAGAGACAACGCTTTCAAACAACGCGCAACTCATGGGCCGCCCAAAATACCTAAACGACAGTCGGAGGGCAATCCAATCACCGACCGTAAGGTATGGCCGAGGAGGAACGGCGCCCGCTTCGACTTCGCCCGCCTCTAGCCGGAAGCTTCTTTGGTCTCCAAATATTCTCGGGACGGCCTCTCCGACCGGAAGGCTCGCCAAACACCGCTTCGACTCAATCCGCTTCTCCGAATCGGAATGCAATTAACCCTTCTTACTCCTCTCCGATCAAGCGCATCAGAGCCAGCTAGGACCAACTGACGGGGACGCCCGCTTTCGGTAAGGACCAGAAATGAGACGGAGAAAGTAAGGCAACGCACTCAAGTCAACCGTAATACTGAGGGACCGTACCACAGCACCTACAGGATAATAGACTGCGACCTCCCTTACATGACAGAACCCAAAGCAAAGGTTGTAGGCGCCCGACATTTTTGTTACAAAGGTTGTGGGCGCCATCAACTCCCATACCGCACAAATACGGTAAGGCTCCCCCACGTGCCTATGAGGCATCAACGATATTAGGGGGCCCGTTATTTACCGCATTCGGAGACGAACATGGTAAAACAAAGGTGCCCAAGATCGACATCTGCCATAACCTGAAGAAGACGACGCAACCTCCCATATGCATCTGACATTAAACAATATTGTGGGAGCCTACCATCATCTTGTACCCGCCGACGTGGGCAGCAAGACTTAGCAGCATACGTACTCTCTCCCTCTCACTTGTAAGGCCATCTCCTTCATCTATAAAAAGGGATGCGCTCTCTCCCAAAAGACTAAGATTCATCGGATCGATCACCACTAGTACACAACAATGTAACCACCACGCTCAAACCTCAAGCACATGTCTTTGGAACACTTAGCACATAGCGGAGCTCCCGTCCTCTCGGTCCCTCGCACCAGTCAGTCCGACCGACCTCTTGTACCCTCCATCTTTTTCCCTTCCGCTTGTAACCCCACAACAACCTTCGAGCACACTGGTTTGAGAATAAAGTCACCGTCCAGACTCAAATCGGACGTAGGGACACGTTGCTTGAACCAAGATAAACCCTATGTCATTGAGTGCTAGGCCACCTCCGATCACAACATATAGCAAAACTATAAATATTTACGTGTTGGTCACTTTACTGCATCTGACACTCGCCTCCCCTTCCCGCTTCCTTGCCTTCTTCGCCGCTCACGCTTATGGAGTCCACGGAGATATTTAAATGCGCCCATGGTTGGTGCCGCCACGCAAGCACTACTCGACGCCGGCTCGCGCTAGCGTCTTGGTGTAGTGACGACCATGAAGTAGTAGATGAAAAAGAAAGATGTCAAGACAGAGCACTAGAACACATCGTTAAAGTTGAGAGCAGAAATCACACAGGCAAAATCACGAACGGTTGAAAAAAGAGAGGCAAAATCACGAACGGCAAAAACCGGAGCGCCCAACTGCATAGTGCCATGCACATGCAAAATCATGCATCAGCAGGCAAAATTGGGCCAAACAGGCTCGAACCTTGCTACTCCAGTCTCGCATCAGTTGCACTAACCAATCCATCTGTCAACGATTGTTGTACTGAAAATACCCGTAGCCCTATTTAATAAGGGCAAACAGAGAAAAATACACCATAATTAACTACTCCTTGGTATACTAAATGCTGTTCTAAACGACTTTCTTTACCGGTACGGAGGGAGTAATTCATGATTAACATTTGAGAGCAAGAAATATGATCACGAATGAACTATGGAGTGTACAGAAAAATACTAATGAAGAGAAGAATCAGTGGGGAAACCTCTGCTTGGTGTTTGGAGCTAATCTGCGAAATCACAGCAAGATCTTCCCCTGGGCCGGTCGATGTTGCGACTAGCTAGTTCCTCTGGCCAAGGCTCCAGGTGGTGGTTAAATTGCCTTACCGAACTTGCCGTAGCTTTACCGCTTATAGAGGACGCTTCAATTCGTCGTTGGGCACTCGGTGCCGTCCCTCTCGGCTGTTGGAGCCGTAGCTTTCGAGTGAGACTAGAAAAAGGGCGCGTCAACGCCTATGAATGCATTTATATGCAAATCCTTGGAGAACATAATTGAGCTCTGGCAAGGGTAAATCCTATTGATATGGGGGCCAGGATTTCGAGGGCAACACGAGTGATGCTCGCGTGGCCCGCGTATAGCCCTGTTTGTTTCGCTGAGATTTGGCTTACGCCGGTACTGATTTGTTATAAAAGAAAAATACTATGCTGAATTAGTGCTGCATAACTGACCTGACGACAGCGACTAGAACCGGGATCCCCTCTCTCCTCTCCGTGGGCCGTGGCATTCACGGATCATTTCTTACCGGTAGATGGTCCTCGGCCTTTGCTGGGCTAACACCTCCCATTCTTGCCAGCCCGGTTGGCCCGGTCCGACTGCGAGGCAGCGCTGCACCTGCAAGTTTTTGGAGCGGACGCCACCAGCGGAGAGGGAGAGCCCCGCCCCCGCAGCGGCGCAGGCACGCAGTCCCCGTACCCGGTGCGCCTCCTCGCCAGCCAGTCGCCACCCAAGCGGCGACGGCGAGTCAGCAGCGAGCCAGCGACGCACTTCGCCTCCGCCAAACTCACGCCCGCAGCAAGGTGAGTTCCTTTCCTCCCTAATCCGGTAGCATTGACCTCCAATCCGCCTCCCCGCCTTGCTCCAATCCCATCTCCATCTCCATCCCCCAGGATGTACCTGGCTTATTGTTCTCCTCTCTCGCTTTTGCCCTAACGCAGCGGGCGGAAAATGGCGGAGGCCGTGGCGGCGCTGGTGCCGGAGTGGGCTACCAAGGAGCCCTGCCTCATGGGGGATCGACGAGGCTGGCCGTGGCCCTGTCCTTGGTAAAACTCTTGCCTCTCTTCTGGTTGGTTATTACTCGCTCCATCCACAAAAGAATGCAATTCTCATATTTCGAGGAGTAGTTTAAACTTTGACTCAAATTATATGATAAAGTACTAACAAGACAAAATAATTACCATTAGATTAGTCGTAAAATATATTTTCATAATAAATTTATTTGGACTATAAACTGGTCAAACTTGAGCTAGTTTGACCGACTTAGTTCCCATAATTGCATTCTTTTGTGGACGGAGTGTGTAATATGCAATGTGGCTCGGATGCTTTTGGGTTTTAAATACAAATGTTCAGTGGCATATCAAGTGAAGTATGATGAACGCTCATGAAAATGTGCAATGCTGATTGAAACTCTAGTTGGTTTCAGCACATTCCACAGCAAAATGTCTACCTAAAGTTCACTTCCTGTTACTGCTCCTGCAGGTCCTATGGTGTATGGATGTATGTACTCATGCTGCTTTGGCTCTTACAATAACACTCTTGCAACCCTGAAATTCGCAGGTCTTCTTCACTCGTATCTTCTTCATCTGCTTGTTGAAGCTGATTTACTTGATTGTTGTGTTAGTCCTTCGCGATGCACAGCTCAATATTCTCAGAGTAGTTTTAATTCTACAGACATGTATATGCAATTTAGTTTCAGTGATATACTGGATGATTCCGTGACTGTGAGCCTGTGTCAGAGAGAGAAATGGGGTAGCTTGGAATTTATAACACATAATCTTTGATAGGCCAATATGCAACCTTTGTTCAATTTGTGTTCATTCACTAAGTAGATGCTGGCAGTAGTTAAGCACTTTGGTTGATCTGGCATGATAGAAGCTCATATCTCTTTTAAAGGGCTGACAAAAGGCACATCATGATTTTTTCCAGACAAAGGCAGGAGCTTGGTGCAACCAGATTAGCTGCTGCTAATTGCTATCCACCTCTTGTTTCCCTTGTCTGCCAGATATTCCCCTCTCTAGTCCCTTTCAATGAACCCATGAGCTGCAGGTGCTTCCATGTACATTATTCTTGTAGCAAACTATTGTTTTCCGAATTTTGTTAAGCCCGTCAGCTTCTGACATCTTAGAGTTAGTGTTGGCACATCTCCTGTTTATCTGTGGCATACTGACATTTGCATGAATTCAACCTTTGGAGTGGTAAATCTTGAATCTGTCTTCGTACTTTGGCAGTTATTATGCTTACTATCTTATGATGTTTCAGTGGTAGAGTTGGTTGAGCATGTAACTTTCCATGGGCCACGGAAAAGTTCAAGAGTACTTTTGCTACTAACACATTGACAATTAGCTACTAACACATTGACAATTAGCATGGCCTATTGATCTTGTCTTCTCAAGCAGATTCAAAGACCTTGAAGGAAGAACAAAGAGAGGAGCTATTTGAAAGTTTAAAGGTCAATAACTCTATTGGGTGGGAAGTGGATGTCATATGCCCAAAGGATCTGTCTGCTAAAATGTTAAAAAAGTATGTCTGGCCTTTGTACCTATTGAAACTTAAACTTGGCCTTGTTATCTTCATTGATAGCCCCATTGTTTCAGGTCGAAAGTTAATCTGAATGAAATATCACATAACTCTGCCATGTGCCTTGTTAGAAAAGTGCTTGACATGGGAGTTCTACTGGCAGAAGTAAGAGCATATATTCTTTAATTCAAAAGATTTCTTGTGCGGCTATCCTTATAAGATTATTTTATTCACCACATTTTTTTAGTAATTGTATTCCTCCTTGAAAAGGTATATATAGATACAGTAGGAGATCCCGAAAAGTATAGAATCAAGCTGACAGAAAAGTTTCCAGGAATCAAATTTGTGGTTGCCAAAAAAGCTGATAGCCTTTACCCTGTTGTTAGTGGAGCAAGTATAGTCGCAATGGTAATTTCTCGAATCAAATTTCCTTGTGTAGGTACTTTCTTATAGGCTTGCTTAGTTGTAAAGTTGTGATGTGCAACTGCAGGTGACTAGGGACAGAGCCTTGCGAAACTGGGTGTTTGATGAAACAGCTCTGAGTCTGCACATGAAAACTGGATCAGGATATCCAGGAGGTAACTGATTCCTCATTGTAAATGATTTTATCAAACTGTAATCATGTGACTTGTCTTGTCGCATTAAAGAACATCCAAATTAATGGTGCAGACCCTGATACTAAGCAATGGTTAGAAGATCACAAGCATCCAGTATTTGGCTTCCCAACTTTGGTTCGTTTTAGTTGGGGAACTTGTAAGCCCTTCTTCAAGGATGCAGTTGAGGTTACATGGTGTGTTCAAATTTGCAACCTTTATGTGCCCATTTGTGAACAAAATTCGTTAGTGTGTTTTGTGAACTGCAAAACATGATTCTGATTGCTATTATAATTTTGCCACATGGTAATGAACTAATGATACGAAGGGAGTCTGATGAAGTTGATGAAGTTGATGAAGATGGGACTGACAATGGAAGCACCAAGCGACAAGTCAAGCTTTGTTTCAGGCTTTACTGGTTTCAAAAGGAAGACTGAGGAGATCGAATCAAGCGGAAAAGGCCATTGCAAATTCTTCCAGGCTCGTAAACTTGAGTTGGTCAGGAAGTTCCAGTGATGTCTGCTAATTTGGTAGTACTATATGTGTAGTAGAAACTAGAGTGTATGGTTACGGAGCCTGATTTGATATCTGATTTGAAACTGGTAGAAATTGGTTGTTGAGATTGGAATGGAAGATGATGGTTTCCCCCCCATTGCTACCTCTGCCATTTCCTACGCTCTGCAGTAGTTACTGGATGCTTTGCAAGTTTATTTGCAAAAAAATGCTTTGCTGTTTTGTTGCAACATTGACGGGTGTTTATTCAGGTCAAAGTGTGGAAACTCCAGCACACGTGTTCTGTGCAAGGAAACAGTTCAAGAGGCTTGCCTTGCGGTGTTAACTGGCTGCAATCATCACCTGATGACCACACTCGTTGATTTGGAAGCCAAATGCAGAAAGAACACCAGGATTTTGCAATGCCAGAAATCAGATAACGATTGGTATATCTCAGGAATGTTACCAAAAGATTCTGTGTAATTTTCCTCCCAGATTCTAGTTATTGCGAGGCTGCGACCCTGTACGTTTGTTGATCTAAACATATACAGACCTGAGACCCTCATTGGAACTTGGAAGACGGCGAGTTCGTGTTTGTGCATTGTGTAGGTTATAGTGCAGAGATGGCTGAGCTGATTGAATCTAGAGAACATGGCATCAAGAGGCTTGACTGCTCGAGGGAACGAGGGTACGCTCCATTTTTTTTTCATCTTTATATATATCAAGGCGATCCGACAAATTCCTTTCCACTGAACGCTTTTCTGTGTGATGTGTTATCTTGGAGACTTCACGAGTGAAACGGCGAGACACGAAGTGAGGATGAGATGGCTTTATATAATACGTTGGCCTTAAGCAAGAATATTCTTTACTTCAAATAAGATATTTTGTACGCTATGTACAATAGTTCCATTGTCGTCAAGTCCGGATAGGGTACCTGGCTTTCACACAGGCGACCCGGGTTCAAATCCCGGCAATGGAAATAACTTTGCCTCTTCCTTGCACGATTTTTTTTTTCATTCAACCTTTACCCTATGGGTTCAAATCCCGGTAATGGAAATACTTTTGCCTCTTCCTTGCACGATTTTTTTTCATTCAACCTTTACCCTATTTTTTCCATTCACCTTCACGTTGCCCTCCTCCTTCCACAATTTCTTTTCTTTTTAAATCACCTTTACCCTTTTTTTCCATTCACCTTCACGTTGCCTCTTCCTACCACGATTTCTTTTTGTTTGCAGTCTTTTACCCCTTTTTTCCCGTTCACCTTCACTGCCTGACCACGCACGTATATAAATAACACAGTTAATGACCAACTTATGATAGATACGTACTCCATCCATTCCAAATTATAAGGCATTCAAGAATCTTGGAGAGTCAAAACATCTCAAATTTGACTGAAATTATAAAGAGAATTATAAAGATTTATGACATCAAATATGTATAATATGAAAATATAATTGATGAATAATTTAATGATTTTAATTAGACTTATAAATGTTATTATCTTATCATATAAATTTGGTGAAACTTTTGACTCTCTAAAGTTTTTGGAATAACTTATAATTTAAGATGGAGCGAGTATATTTGTTTCAACCATCGAGCAACTAGCCAAAAAGTTCCACGGATACATCCCGCTTCCCAAACGCAGCAGTGCGCATCACATTTCTTCACGAAAATTTCCGAACGAGTCACCTCGATCGCACTAGCTGCACGCATGCGGAAGAACCACACCTCAAACGGCACGAACTCCGTCCGGTCACCATCGTCCTCCGCCCACAACCTCCGCCCACCGTCCGAGAGTCGGGTCCGGCCGGCCGTCCGTCCGGTCCCGCGGCCGCAGGTCGTACACGCCGCAGACGCGAAGGCTCCACTTCCGGCCGAACCCCATGTACGTGAGGTACCTGGCGTTGCAGGAGGACCCTTCGTCCTCCAGGTAGAACACGCGGCCCCTCGCACGTCCGCGCCGGTGTACCTGTAACCAGACGCGGAGAGGGCGACCGAGCAGCTCCGGCTCACGAACAGCGTCTGGTCCTCCAACGCGCCGGTCGACGTCACCTCCGACCATGCTCACGTGTCGCCGTTGTCGTTGTTCGAGTGCTCCGCCGACGGCGTTGTCTTCCTACAGAATGCTCCAGCGGACCATCTTCCCCTGCGCTGCGAGTTCGAACGCGTAGAGGCTCCCTCGGTTGTCGACCGCGTAGAGCTTCCCGCGGAAGAAGGCGACGTCCTCGTACCGCATGCCGCCGTCGGGCCCGTCGTCGCGGCGGGTGTGCAGCGCCCACGACGCGCCGGTGACCGGCAGGCAGATCCTGATGGTCTTGGGGTTCTCTCGCATGCTGGGTTTGAACAGCGCGGCACGATGGAGCCGCTGCGCGTGCCTGCCGAGACGACTTTGCGGAACGCGGAGCGGTTCCTGTACCGGGCGTACGGGTCGCCGAACCGTTGCTCCTCCTGCTGGAACGGCAGCTTCATCGACTCGCCGGAGAATGGGTTCCGTAGGAAGCACGAGCGCGCCGGGTCGTCCATCTCGAGTAGGATCCACCCGTCGAAGGTGCTGTAGCAGCGGAGCGCGTTGCCGGGGCCCCACCGCCTGAGGGCGTGCTGCTCGCTCACCGTCGCAGAGGCTCTGGAACCGGTCGTTGTTGAAGCTGATCCACGGCAGCGGCGGCGGGACCAGCGAGCGCTGCTGCTGCGCGGCGACGCGCCAGTGCCGGCAGACGGCGTCGAAGCGGACGCGGTCGGCGTGCGACGGCAGCCATCGGAGCACGACGCCGGCCAGCTCCGGAGGAGGTCCGACGACCATGACGGCGTCGACGGCGGCGGCGTGGCGCGTCGCTTGCTGCTGAAGCAGATGCCCATCACGCGATTACATTACCCTAGGATAAATGAAACAAACTTGCAGGAATTTAAACTGATTTCTTCCTTTGTTTTTATTATTCATGATTTCTTTCTGTTTTGCCTGCGCCCGACTCGCTGAATTCGTTAGGGCTCCTACTTTCCTTCGGTCCGTTGTTTGACTGGGCAGTCACGTAGCGTAAATCTTTAAATGGGCCTCTCTTGGCGGCAACACGTGGGCCAAACCGTTTTCAGCCCATGCACCACAGCCCACGAGACAGTTTTGGTCAAAAAGGCAAAAGCGGCGCGGTACGAGAATTTGATTCAGCAGAAGCTAAAGGGCCAAGGTGCAAAACAGCGGAAAACAACTTGCCCTCCTCCCTGTAAGCCCAAAGCACCCGGTCCGCCACGGCGCCCGCCTCCCCTCCTCGCCGGTGTCGCGTGTCCCTCGTTCGCGCACGCCCAGCCCGCCTCCACCTCCCATGCCGGAGCGACGCCGCGTCGCCGGAGATCCGCCGCACTGGTGATCCCCGGAGCAGAAGCAGACGCGATGGACCGCCTCCTGCTGTCGTCCCGCCCACCGCTCCCCGTCCCGACCCACGCCGCGGCCGCGGCGGGCGCCCACGGCGACCTCCTCGAGCTCGACGTGCTCTGGCCGGCCACCCCGTCCGCGGTAGGCCTCGGCCTCCTCGCCGCGCTCCCGGAGGACGAGGGCAAGAAGAAGAAGCGCGCCGCGGCCGTGGTCGGCGCGGGCGGGGTCGGGGTCGGGGGGCCCGCCCGATCCACCGCGCGCCCCGTCCCGGAGACCGCCGCGGCGGCGTCCGCGATGGCGACGTCGGCGCCGGTGCGGATACAGTCGGAGCCCGCGCGGAGGGGGAGGTGGGCCCACGCCGTCGCGGGGGCGGGCGGCAGCGCGGCGGACGCCGTGGTCCCCCCGCACGAGATCGTCGCGCGCCGCGCCGCCGCGCACAGCTCGGTGCTGGAGGGCGCCGGGAGGACGCTTAAGGGCCGCGACCTCCGCCGCGTCCGCAACGCCGTCCTGCACCGCACTGGCTTCCTCGACTGAGGCGGAGGCGAGTCGTCACGTCGCTTTCGTGATAAAGTGTTGACCATTTTTTTTTTCTCGCGATTTTGTTTCCCGATGTGTTTGTGGTCCGGCTACTTTGTTTCCTTCCTTCCCCTGACGAGAGAGGGGATGGAAAACATGAGGTGAGTTGAGGTGAACGAACGAGGACATGATTACCGTGTTGATCCATCACATATATATGGAAATTTTGGCCCTTATATTTGTTCCTATCCGTATGCTGTGTGTTGACAAGAGGGCTAAGAGAGGTGGTTTCTCATAAATCATGCCCAGTTCTATGCTTGTCGTGTCTTGTTACTTGCTAATAATGCCTGCATTGGGAGCTTCTTGGAGTGATTTATGCACAGAATGGATGTAAAAAACGCTAGTAGATTCATATCTGTAATTCTTAACTGACCATTAATATCTGAAATTGTTGAATCTGGAAGGATACCATTATTGGCTTTGTTAATCTATACTTGGATTTTGTTTAGTTCCCTTTTTCTGACAATAACCTTGTAATTAAAGTAGGTCTGTTTCTATTGCTTGTTTCCATTCCTAGCTTTTGATGTTGAAAATTCAGCTGAATAATGGTAATATGTACCTTTGAGATGCAAACTTTTTTCTTCCCTTGTTTTAGAGCATATCAAAATTGGTCATGCAGTGCTATGTCGTATGTCAGCGAGTTCCATTCAGTTTTATTCATGTCGAGCATAGTCACACTAAAAGCTGAAAATGAATGTGAACTTGGTTGCTAGCTTTGTTTCAGACTTCATTTGTTAAGCATTGATCGTGTTCATATATAGGTTATAGATAAATAACTTCATGGTGAAATGTGATGAATTGATAGAGATATATTTCTCTTTAAAAAAAAATATGTATCTTAAAAATGCATAAAATAAAATAAGAATAGTTGGTAGTCCTTTTCAGAAATAGTTGGTGCATGGTCAAAAAAATTAAGTTGATAGTGGAAGAACGTTTGTTGATTGAGAAGGGTTCATACCCTAATTTTATTCCCAGCATCCATTACCCTCTAATTCAGGTACAAGG